AAAGCTTCTGAGTCTGTCAATTATGCTTCAAAAGCTTGCTGAGTGCTAGTTCCTCTGCCACATCCACATTTCGTATTATTTCTACGCTATTTTATTGTTCGCTGCGGCACTAGAGAGACTTGGCGAATGGCTTCAAATTTGCTTGTGAGAAGACCAGTCTCTCTATTATTTCCTTTACTGAAAGTTGTTTGGGCGCGTATCAAAGTGTGTTCCCTGTTATTGGACATTAACAGACTGTGTACTGACACATGAAGATGTTGTTTGTATTGTGGTACTAAGTACAGCTGTTATATTAAGTGATTATAAACTATTTGATTGTCATCATAACCCAACGAAATAAATAACCTATGAATAATAATAGACAAATAGAAAGTCCAATTTGTAAAAATTGTGAGCTAAGAATTAACCAAAATTAAATAGATTTAACACAAAAGAATATAAAAGAAATGTGTAGAAATTGATAAAAGCTGAAGCAAGTAAAACACTGAAATGGAATGTTTTTCGAGCATCTTTCACAAGAAGTTGGTAAAGTGTTGTCACGTTTCGAGTGTCTTACAGATGAGTAGAATACAAATTTCCTGTGAAACTGTTCCTTCAGTCCTCAATTCAAAAGTGAAATATTCCAGGAGTGTCCATACTTTCGAACACAGGCCAATAGAGCAGTATGCCGGTTGGTTTCATCGCCTCAGCTTTCATCGAACGATTCGATCGCAGCTTTGATGACACTACGGCGCCAGCACATGAGGCAGCATCTACTTCTTGTGATTGCAATTATCTTTGTATGTGCTTTAATTTCCGTAATAGTTTTTGGCACCATTTTTTACAGGATGGGCCTGAAAGCGAAGAGGTCTCGTTTCGATGTTTTAAAAGGCGTCTAGAGTTGGGGCGTTGCTGAGAAGCCACCTTTTTATCGTTCCCTAGCTCCGCACTGTTTGCGCCGTTTCTGGCCTTTATCGTGTTTTCTGTAACTGCTGGAGCTATTTCATCCTAGCTTCCATTTCTCTACTCTCCTAGCTTCCTGTAACAACAGCACTAATGTCATTTACCAGAAAAAGTGCTAAAACCTTGGCTAGACGAGCTAATAAGGAAGCAATGTATTTTTTAAAAAATCACTACTTCTCATATTTTTGAACCGATGTGTTTTGGTACAAAGAAACTGTACTTGTACGGGACGATTTAAGATACCCAAATATGATAATACGATTTTATCATTCCAGCACATTTGCAGTTTTTGGAAAGTAAAATCCTAGAAAAGGCGAAAAGTTGATCCTGGAATACTTGAGTGAGCTATGATTCATGGTGTGAAGAACCTCCACCAGCTATGCGGCTGGCAGCTTTTCCAGGTGCTTTAACCAGTACTACTTCCTCTATTGATTAACCTGTACCGAACTCTTTCGTTCGTTTTATCTTCTAAAAAGTTTTCTAGTACAACGATTCGTCTAAAGTATATATGTATATATATATATTTTTGCTGGTCTTTCTGAAACGCATATATTTCTCTTCATTTTCTTCCAAATGTCGCCACTCCTAAACCACGAAATTAATTAAAGTTGGAAAATTCAAACTTTTTTCTCTAGTTTTGTCTTTCTTTTGTGTTCGGCCAGGTC